GTCAGCCCTGCTTGGTCTTTCTTTCCTACCAAGCTCAGGATACCAGTGCCTGGCACTAGGAGTCACAAGAGTAAAGAACAGTCCAGCTCCTGCTGAGAGCAGGGTGTGGCCTGGGTCTGGATTCACTCAGCCCCTTGAGCCTCAGCAGCCACAGTTAGCACCAGATAGGACAATGTCTCATGGACCCTCTAAGTCAGGTGCCTAGAAGGACCCACTAAAAGTTCCCTTCCTTTCATGCTGTCCACCCTCTGTCATCCTGTCTTCAGTGAGGAAGCTCTAGCAGAAACTACTTTTAGGGAATGCTTCTCAGTCAGGCTATGGCTGTGCTTTCAGGCCTGGCCCAGTCAGCATCCCACATGGTGTGTTAGGTCCAGGCCTGACCAGGCAGCTGAACACAGCACTGGTCTAGTATGTTTCTAGTTGAAACCATTGTTTACCCTCCTCTCTCTCTGTGTCCTCTATGCCCCTCCATGATGACTGTCTGTCAGTCCTCAGAGTTCACTCTGCTTCCCCCCCATGTTAATGGAGGGAGCACTGAAAGTAGAGGTGTGTGAATGCTCCTCTCCAGGTCCCTTTCAATCAGGAAGCCTCTCCCCAGCTCCTGGCGATGCTGTCCTTCCTCTCTCAGAGATGATGCTGATAGGGAGCTCCCCACAGCAGGGCCTAACACCCCACTTGGGTGTTAGGTGTTTCAAGTAGCTTTCAGTTGATATTATATTGTACACAATTTCTTGTATTATTAATCAATCACCTTAGTGATGAATGGTTTCCTTCTCCTTCTATCCATGCACACACTCCTTTACCTTCCCCTGTTCTTTCTGTCCAGCCACTCCAGCCACTCTCGTGTCCTGAGGACTTCATGCCTCCTTTGCCCCCTCTCTGAACATCTTCCTCCAGGAAGCCCTCCCTGACCTACAGGCTGATCTAAATATCCTTCCCGTGTGGCTTCCCGTGTGGCCTTCTCTTGCAGCAGGTTCCATGTATAAACTAAGTTTATAGAATGGCTATACCGCTGCATGAGACAAAGATATCATGGTGATCTAGTCATGCAAGGAACTCACTGTCCTGGAGGAAGAGGACCAATCATATAACACATACAAGATAATCTTAACAGGTGGAGACTGCTGTGGAATTAGTAACATAACAACTTGCTGGTTTGTAATTGGGGTGTCAGGGTGCTGAGGCTTAAAAATTGAGACTCAGTAATTTATCCTTTCATTGGGCAGGATTTGAATTTTCTACACTTATGCATACGAGAACTGGTTATCAGCTAGAGGAGTTGGGGAGTGAGATTACTCAACAGAGACAGGTTTGGGGTAAGAAGGGGCGGATCTACTGAAATACGCTGCCTGTGGAGCAGCAGATGAGACAGGAGCCAAGTGGGCCATTTGGCTTAGTTCTCTGGCTTAAGTTCAAACTGAGGCTTCAGTATCTGGCAATAGACTGATAGTGCTGAGACTTAACTCCTGTGCCACCAAAGAAATACAGGATTTGAACTTATATGACATTAACCTCTTCTCATTTAAGAACGTGGTAATTGTCTTTCCATTTTTCATATCTTGTTGATTTTTTTGTAAGTATATATGGCTTTCTTCATATGTTTTTCTTTTTGCACTGATTCTTAACTGGTTCATAGATTTTGTTGTTGCTGCTGCAGTGAATTGTTTTCTCATCCTACTTACTTTTTTTTTTTTATAAAGATTTAGTTATTTATGCATACAGAACTGGGGTGCAGGCCAGAGGTGCAGGGGCAGTCAGAGTATTCACCAGAGACAGATAGGGGAGCAGAACAGGCAGATTGATGAAGTGTACTGCTGAAGGGAGCAGCAGGCGGGTCAGGAGAGGTCTGCTGTACCATGTAGATCACCCGGGGCAGGGATCGAACTCACACTGAAACAGCTCCAGCTAGCTTGCAGTGCTATGCTTTAACCTGTTGCACCACAAGGGAGGGCCCCACATCCTACTTACTTTTACTAGAATGGAGAAAATCCATGATAATTATTCATTTGTTTTCTTATTTATGCTTTCCAGTCCTTTTTATATTAATGGTAACTCTTTCCTAAGATGGTTACAGTGATCCTGACACTATTATCACTGGGTATGCTTTGTGGAATGCAGGAGTATGGTTCTTCCAGAACTGGAAATGACATCTACTCTTTTTTATGGCTAAGTTCTTCAGAGAGAGAAAAAGCCTGAACATATTGAGAAATGAGAAAGAATTACCTGTACATGGTCAAAGATGAGAGCCTAGGTTTTACATTTCAAGGAGTTGAACTTGAATCTTGGTTCTACCACTTAAAAGCTGTGACTGAGGGAAGTTGATTATTTACTTTGTTTGAACATCAAAATCTTTGTCTATAAGTGGAGCTAAAAGTTTGTATTTGTTTAAATAGGTACTAATAAGTTTAAATAAGATAATACAATTAAACATGGAAGTTGTTTCAGAGAATAAGACTCATAATATGTTAGATATCATTTACAATTCAGTAAGTAATTATTCTAAAATTAGACATTCCATATATGGCAATCTCCTGTCCTTAAAGCTGTACATGCAGAATATGTTGCAGAACAGTTGATCTGCAAAGGCAGGCCTGCCACCTTAGTGCTGCTATAGCAGACTCCCAGACAGCTTGCTTTTTTTTTTTTTTAACTTGGATGAATCTGGTTTTCCATTATCATTTCTTTTCTTTTTCTTTTTTATTGCTGTCTCATTCATCTGAATTTTGGGGACTATTTTTGATATGTCTTAAAAAATATATGATCTTTTCTGGAGCTCCTATGTTAGCAATATGTGCACCCTACGTAGATTTTGTAAACTGTAGTTTTTGCTGAGGTATTTGCAAGTGCGTTATAGACAAGATAACAACATGCTCCTAACTATCAACTCTAAACATATTTGCTTGTAATCTCTAAGAAATTATTTTTTACATTTTATATGATGTCAATTAATAAATATACCTTATCATTACGCACTTCCAATCTATGTTCACATTTCTCCCCTTACTGCAAATGTGGCCTTTCAGCTTGTTTGTCATGATAGGAATCTAATAGGGGACCTTGCATGTGACAGGAGCGTGAACTCTCTTGTATCAGTAGCTTATTCATCTCTGCAAATTCACCATTTCACAGTAGTGACTTACTAAAGAGATTGTTTCAGTCTGCACTTTCTTAAAGTCAAGTTATTATCAGTACCACCTGGAACTGTTTGATATGCACACTCCCTAGTACCTCCGTGGTAGCACTGTGGAAATCTGCTCTCACTTGTGTGACCACAATGATGATATGCACATTAGTGTTTAGGATGACTCCCGTAGGGTGTCTTACAGTCATGTGATTGGTGGTTTTGTATGATTTTCTAGGCATATGACTTATTTTTTTCAATAGGACCTAGGTGAAGGTCCTCCTGTACTTCAGGCGTGCTCACTTCAATGTGGAAACGTGAATGTTTCTTTGATTTCAATTTAGTTGTCTTCTCTCAAGAACCTGCTTATGCTAGAAGCATATATTGTAGATATTTGGTGCAAGGAATTTTTTCTATGGAAAGATCAGTGAAATTTATGTACTAATGATACTAACACAGACTGATGTGTAGAATTTTACCTTTTAGAGATAGTTAGACATCTCACCCACTTATGATTGCCTCGTTCATTATAGAGAACCCTTAATCCAAACCCCTGATATGTCTTTCCAGACTACCAGTCCTGGCCTCTGCACTGGTTATTCAGTCCTCTCAGTGTGACTTCTCTGACTGCTTTATTTGGGGCTTCAGCATTTCCTTTTCATCACAGACAGGAAGCTCACTTTTGCTTTGATTGTCCAGGTTTTATATTTAGTAAGGCTGAGCTGACCCCTGTGAGAGAGGTCCATATTGTGCAGCAAAGCCTAGGAGAGGGAAATAGGTTTTATTTAAATAAAAAAAAATGTTAAAAATAAAAAATTTTCTCTAAATTATTATTTTTTTTAGTAAGAAATGTGATTTCTCTTTCTCCATCTGCATTACCAACCCTAATTTGGTTCCACATATGGGAACAGAATAGGATTTTATGTTGCTACTTAAGCATTAACATCACATCAGGAATCAACATTAGTGGCTCTTTATTGTACACAGAATAATGCTTCTAAAAATTCCTGAATTTGACCCTCAGTTCTGTTACATCTTTAGCTCAGCAAAATCCCTCCTTCGCCTCATGCTCAGAACTATAATCACTATTCTGACCCTCTGCAGGGCTCCAGCCTGGTTTTGTTCACTAGTTTACTCAACCTGCTGTCGCCTCTATCTGCCAAGATCCTTAACGACATGTAGGACTCAGGATATCTTCCTTTTCTACCACAATCTGCTATGTTTCCAAAGAATGTGTGTGTGTGTCCTATCAATTTTTGTGGTTTTAGAGACTAGAAATTAAGATTTTTCGTATTTTAACAGAAAACTAAAGACTTATTTTTATAATTCTTTACTAAATAATTGCTTGACTGTTATCTTGCTTCCTGGCAGATTGGGTAATATAAAACTGTATCTTTAGAATATTAACTCTTGGTCATGATAGATTGAAGTAGGGAAACATTGGCCTGTGAGCATGATTTGACGGCAGTTGCATGGGTTGAGAACACTGAATCAAATGCTATAGTAAATTCAGTTTTGTCTGTACCATTGGATTTGAAAATGTCTTGAGTGTAGGTTTACCATTATCTTATGTACATAGCTCTGTATCAAGGTTACAACTGAAAATTTTATCTATGGAATGAATACAGAAAGACTTTCCTGAAGAAAAGAACATTACAGGTACAGAAAATATGGGACAGAAAATCTTGGCACATTGCATTCAGTAAGTTTCAGTGAACTTATTCAATACATGTAGGTTGTGATCAATACATCTATATCTGGTCATTCTTTTTTCTCTCGAGTTCAGAGAACATCATAATTCATCAATCATTTGAGTGAAATTTATTTGGAAAATTTTAGTGGGTCTCAATCAAGGACCCATGTTCTGACATCTGGGCTCATGGAAGAGAGGAACCAGACCAGCAGCTTTTTCCTCCTCTGGGGACTCTCAGATCGGCCAGAACAACAGCACATGCTCTTCCTAGTGTTTCTGTGGCTATACCTGGTCACTGTGGCCGGCAACCTGCTCATCAATCTGGCCATTGCGACTGACACCCATCTCCACACTCCCATGTACTTCTTTCTTGCCAGCCTGTCCTGTGCAGACATCCTTTTTGTCTCTACCACTATCCCCAAGGCCCTTGTGAACATCCAGACACAGAACAGGTCCATATCCTATGGTGGATGCCTGACCCAGCTCTACTTCTTCTTGACTTTTGGGGATATGGACATCTTTCTCTTGGCCACAATGGCCTATGACCGCTATGTGGCCATCTGCCACCCTCTCCACTACAGGATGATCATGAGTCCCCGCCGCTGCACCATCCTGATCACTGTCTGTTGGACCCTTACAAATCTTATTGCCATGACCCACACCTTACTCACACTTCAACTTTCCTTCTGCTCTAATAGAATGATTTCTGACTTCTACTGCGATGTGGAACCCTTAATAAGGTTGTCTTGCTCTGACACTAAGGTTAATGATATTGCGGTCCTCTTGCTTGGGGGTGCAGCCAGTTTAGGTCCCTTTATGTTCATCCTCATCTCTTATATCCGCATTGTTACAGCCATTCTCAGACTCCCCTCTGCCCAGGGGAGGCGCAAGGCCTTCTCTACCTGTGGGTCCCATCTTGCTGTTGTTGCCCTATTCTTTGGGACAGTCATCCGGGCTTATCTGTTCCCCTCGTCCTCTTCCTTCAACTCAGTTGAAGAGGATACAGCAGCTGTTGTGGTGTACACCGTGGTGACTCCCCTGCTAAACCCCTTCATTTACAGCCTACGGAACAAGGACATGAAGGGAGCTCTGGGGAAGCTTCTCAGGGGACAAGTCTCCTTTTTGAGGGGCCAGTAACTTCTACAGAGAAACTACAGGTGTCCCATGTCATCAGTGAGAAGCTACAGAGAAAATTTTTTCTCAGTTGTCTCATTTCTGAGTCCCACATGTGCCTGATGTACTTCTGTGTTCAGATTCCCAATGTGAGTTGGTTATTTCTGAAGAATTCAAGACTTGCATTTTGTTCTGTTAAGAGTTTATCTACTTTAGCATAATCTGTTAAGACTTGATTATATAGTCATTTGATTATATAATCTCACTTATTTTATTTCACCTTAATTTCATTTGACTTGAAATACTTTTGCAATGTACACAATTTAAATGTCTGTGTCATCTTTTAAGCTACTGTTAAAGCTCCATAAGTAACGTCATGAAAAATGTATTAATGGTGAAAATATTAGCAAGAAAGTTCAATATTGGATGGGAGGTAGTTGATAAATGTAAATGGAAAGCATATATTTCCTTTAATAATAGGAAGCTATTCAAACAGTAATAGTCCCAAAGTTATCAGCGTTGTTTACAAATGTTAAAAAGAAGGCACTAAATATAAAAGACAAGTTTATTTTCAATAAATATCTTTATGAACAGTATATAATATAAAGATAAACCAGTAAGTCCATATCTAGGTTACAGTTGTCATCTTTCTTATCTGCCTAACTCTTGACTGATTTTAAATGCTGACTGTCACATTTGCAGAAAGGAAATTTGTGTCCTCTCTACTTCTTTGTGTTGAATGTGTGACTCCTGCCTCAATAAAGACCAAAACATATTTCGGGTATATTTGCTTGCAAGAGTCAAGATATGGGTAATAACTGAAAAGCTCTTGATGTGTAGAGTGCAAAAGATGCGATACAGACATACATACACATACACACAATGAAATAGTCATTTGTACAGTATGAATAGACCAAAGGATCTTGTGCTTAGTGAACTGTCAGATGGGTAATATACTTCCACTCATTTGTGGAATATAGAGAAAGTAGAAGATAAAGCAGAACAAAAGAGAAACAAACTCTTAGACAGAGGACATATGTGTCACTACCAGATGGATATGGAGGTGACATAGGTAACTTGGGTGAATATGGTCAGTTGTATGGTCTCTATGGAAACTAAACTCTAGATAGTCATGAGGTAGTGTGTCCATATGTAGAATTGTAACCCTGTACAGCTGAGGCTACTGCAAATTCATAAATTGATCTTACCGCAATAAAAATGCATTTTAAAAGATAATTTGGATATAATTTTTATTTACACAGTATATATTTCAGAATTCCATGCCAAGGTTAAAAGTGAATGCAAAACGGTGTCTAGCATGAGGGTATGGCACAACTCACTAAGAACTTTATGAGGAAAAAACCTCAGGATGGGTACGCAGGAGGTAGATTCGAACATAATACCTCCAGTCAATTTACATTTGTCTGCTCTTCTTTTATGTGAAGTGAAATTTTGATAGTTGAGCTTCCCACCTAAGGGGAATTTGTGGGGAAGACAATGGTTCAACAAGTCTGAAAGTGAAGTGCCCTAAATTGTAGCTTTAAAATGTGAGACATTAGAAACATCACCCTGATGGCAAAAAGGAGCTTCTTTACTTCAGTCAAAGAGGGACACCTAATAGTTAACTAGAAGAATATACACTAGAGCGTAGAAGATGCAGAGAACCTAGAATACTTGGAACCTCAAAGACCAATACAGACTGTACAGAAAGATCCCGGCAAAGCCATATTTTATTGAAAAAAGGTGTATGGAGAGAGAAGCCTGAAGTCTGTGTTCTGAGGTATGAGACATGGAGTGTGGGGTCTCCCATATAGCCAGGGTCCCTGGGGAGGGGAGAGTGATATGTGTGAAAGCTCACACCCTTGATTATGGGAGAACGTTGGTTTGTTTTATTGGCAAACTATTGGTTTACAATACATTATATGTGTCAGTGGTATAACTTAAATAACCTCAACAAAACAAGAAATGGGGCCCTCCCTGGTGGTGCAGTGGGGTAAAGCGCAGCACTGTGAAGCTTACCTTTGGCTGCTTCAGTGCAAGTTCGATCCCAGCCCCGGAGGTCGAACCTTTCCGATTTCACCCGCTACTCCCCTTAACAGTATACTTCGTTGAACTGTCTGTTCTGCTCCCCACTCTGGCTATGGTGAATCCTCTCACTGCCCCTGTACCTCTCGCCTGTACCCCAGTTCTGTATGAATAAATAAATCTTAAAAAAAACCAAAAAACAAGAAATATATATATATCACACTACTTCTATCACATGAGCTCTAATATATTCACTACTAACATAAACCTTCACTCCATTTCTCCCACCCTCCTTCCGTTCCTCTCTGATAATCACCATTTTGTCATGAGGCCAAGTTATTCATTGTATTGTGTTTATGTATTTACATTCTATATGTTAGTGAAATCATTAGTTACTGAAATAGTGAAATAAATTTTGGTATTCTGTCTCTCAATTTTAATATGCTTAGCACCTCAGGTTCCATCAATATTGTCACAGATGGTTAGATTTTATTGGCTTATGATTTAATAGCTGAATGGTATTTCATTGTGTATATAACACACAACATGTATATAACACTTTTTTATCTAATCTTCTGTTGAAGATTATTTCGCTGTTTCCATGCCTTGAATGTTGCAAATAGTGCTGCACTAGAACATAGTTATGCATATGTTTTTGAATTCCGGTTTCCATGTCCCTTGGGTAGTTACAAGCATAATTCTTGTTGCCTCAGGGTTACATTTCAAAATGATGAAAACAGGTGAACTCATGGGCACTCAACTAGTCCCTCTCTGAGCTCTCAAAGTGGTCCGAATATGATCTGACCAGATTTCTTCTTCCCAGTGGTCACAAATCTCCTAGGTGGGGTGACAGCAATGGGAATGGCTGATGATAACTGTGTGGTGATTGAAACATTCACCTAGGGGATTATCCTGCCCTCTCCCTCTTCCAGGCAGTCAGTCTAGAGAAAGGGGGGCTAGGGCCCTTCATTGATTCACACCACGAGCTGCGGTAAATGTTGACTGCCACTGGGTCGTAATTCCCCTTCCCCTAGACAGAGAATGAGCTCTCCCCTGAGCCCTGGGAGGTAGGAAAGCAGGTGTGCCAATGACTGATAACAGGTGGATGAGGTCACTCATTACCTCCAGATGGGGCTATTAGCTTCACTTAACACCCGGCTGAGCTAATGCTGAGTCCCTATCACTGTACCTCCATCTTGTTCTCCAAAGGCACTCCTGCAATAAGCCACTTTCCAATACCCATGAATTATGGCATGTCATTCCTAGGTTACCTGACAAGATGACTAATACTGTTAATGCCTACCTGGATGGTTTGACCAGTTTACACAGTTAATCCAAGGCCCAAACCAAATCTATGAGATAGAAAGTCATTCCAGTAGTAGAGGGAAGAGTCTTCAGGCAAGGAACAAGCAAAAGCAAAAGCCTTGAGAAGAAAGCCCTTTGCTAATTCCAAGAACTCAAATAGACACAATATCACTGAAGATTTGGGAACAAAAGAAAAGAATATTGACCAAGGTTTCAGAAATTTGGAGTGTAAGAGTAGATGAGACTTTAGAGAATATTTTTCATTTTCTCTAATTGTAATAGATTATTCCTGAAATGATTTCAGTAGGAAAATATAGGGTTCAGTGTAGACTGTTACACCATTGCTCTGATCTGTGCCAAGAAAAATGTAGGAAATGAAAGAAGCAAAGCATTGGGTGTCCATACAGGTTGGAGAAGGAGTCATAAAGAGTATAGTGTTAATGCAAAAAGTATGAAGTTTGAGTTCTATAGCAGTCTAAATGACTTTAATTCACAGCCTTTTCTGGGGGAAGAGCACAGGAGGCACCAGCTGCAGACAGGCTGTGGTAGGTCTGTGTGGGGGCTCAGCGCTGATCTCACGGCAGCAGCCGCGGAGCATCGAGGACCAACGTGGACACTCCCTCTGGGAGGGCACCTGCCGGTGACCCCGGGGCCACTGTCATCCAGGATCTGAGGTGGGGCAGGGCAGCAAGACTGTCCACAGTCTGACCCTGTCGGAAGCCCATGCCCCCATGAGCCCCTGAATCCTCAAGGGCTTCTGACCTTAGCCCAGATGCCATGTGTCCTGCTCTCTCCCTCGCCTCATCCACCCCCAGACTTATAGTGCCTCTCATATAGCACCTAAAAATGGAATTTAGACTGGAATTGAGCTTGGATTCATACATGCCTACTGTTTATGATTAATCCCAACCAGAAATACTAATTTTCTCAGAGGCCTTTTTCTAATTCTCTCAATGTCACTTTAGTCATCAGTGGCTGATATTTCTGGGTGGATGGATGTAACTCTGATTGAATCTTAGACTCAGGCAGTTAATGACCTTACTAGAGGTAATCTCAAATCCCAGTATCACTGGAACACATCTTTCCCCCTTAGAGAATCTGCTCTTGACAGAATACCCAGGTGATGGGACAATTACTGAGCTCCACTCTCCCTGAGGACCCCAGAGAAGGCTCATGCTGTTGCTACCTGGCAAATAAATAATCAGCACATTTTCCTTTAGAGCACAGAACTAGGAACATTGGGGTTTTGTTGATGTTAATGAAGAGAAACATCCCATCTGCTCTCTGTTGCAGTTGGGGTACTAAACACTTGCTGGGACAGAGGTAGGTGTGCTGCTATTGCTGTGGTCACTGCTTGGGAAGGGTCAGGCTCAATACTGAGACAGATTATTATGTTAGCATACTAATGAGGCAGAAGACTGAAGAAGAGGCAGTGTCATTGGGGATGGTGAATGAGACAGACACAGGCAGGAGGTAAGCTTCACAGTGGGCAGGGCACAGCCATACAACCCGAGGGCTACACAGAAAGGTCACGTGCCAGGCTCAGTGAGGAGATGAAGGTAATAACACTCGCTTTCATTCTTTGGTGTATTAGAATCAGGCAGAAAAGACCTAAGCATTTGACAAAGTAAAGCCAAATCTTGACACCTGCACTGTTTGGAAGGAAGCATGCTGGGAATCTGAGTGCCGTCCCTGGGGTCAGACTCTCCTCCTAGCTCAAGTGCTGCTCACCTTACTGCCCTCTCTGGACTCCTATCTGCCTCTTTGAGGCACTTGTTCTGAAGCACCAAGAGCAAACTCCTTCCATCTCTTCTTCCTGCTCCAATTTTGCACGGACTGTCCCGAGCCTCTGAGCCTCCGGAGTCCCTCCACTACATGAATCTATTCCTCCATGACTACTGACCCACAGTGCCTGAACATGGTGTTAAATAGGGACAGTGAAGGTTAACTGGAAATAGTCATAGGTGAGAAAGACGAGAGGTTTTCCTAGGGATGTTTTGTCAAGCTCCTAGTAACTAGAAGGACTTGAAAGGCAAGGGTAGGAAGGTGGAGGAGCAGGGAGTCTGGGCTACAGGGAAGGCAATTAAGAATGTTCAGAGATAAAGACCAGGGCGTGGGGTTAAGGGCATACTGTACTCACAGGCCAATGTGTGATGCTAACAGACAGGCATGGTGTCAGAGTGACGATGCTGATGTGTGGACAAGGCGCAGGGAGACAGCAATGTAGGTAGGACTGATGGAGGGGACTCGGGGACACAGGACAGCATCTGTAACCCCACAGCTGGAGGGAACAGAGATGGACGATCACTGACCAGTAGGGAGCTGCTGACCCCTAATGTCAGCCCTGCTTGGCCTTTCTCTCCTACCAAGCACAGGACACCAGTGCCCGGCACTAGGAGTCACAAGAGTAAAGAACAGCCCAGCTCCTGCTGAGAGCAGGGTGTGGCCTGGGGCTGGATTCACTCAGCCCCTTGGGCCTCAGCAGCCACAGTTAGCACTAGATGGGACAATGTCTCATGGACCCTCTAGGTCAGGTGCCTTGAAGAACCCACTAAAATAAGTTCCCTTACTTTCTACTGCCCTCATTCATTTTGTCCTCAGTGAGGAAGCTCTAGCAGAAACTACTTTTAGGGCATCCTCGTTGGTCTGGTTGATGATCGTGCCCTGACTGGACTTTCAGGCTTGGCCAAGTCAGCGTCCCACACAGTGTGCTGGGTCCAGGCCTGACCAGGCGACCAGACACAGCACTGTAAAACCTGTGCATCCTGGTGTCTCAGTTCGTCCCTGGTCTAGGCTGTTTCTGGTTCAAAGCATTGTCTACCCCCCTCCCTCTCTCTGTCCTCTCTGTCCCTCCATGATGATTGCCTGTCACTCCTCAGCGGTCACTCCTCTCCCCCATGTTAATGGAGAGAGCACTGAAAGTAGAGGTGTGTGAATGCTCCTCTCCAGGTCCCTTTCAATCAGGAAGCCTCTCCCCAGCTCCCAGAAATGCTGTCCTTCCTCTCTCAGAGACGATGTTAATGGGGCGCTCCCCATAGCAGGGCGTAATACATTGGGACTTAGAAGTTTGGAAGAGTAAGACTCACTCTATGTTGATTGTTATTTACAGTTGTTTAGTAAATAATTATTTGTAAGTTTGAAATTCCGTATATGGCAATCGTTTGTCTTTAAAACTGTACATGCAGAATTTGCGGCAGAGCTATAAGGTTTTAAAACAGGCAGGACTTGCAGTTTACTAAACTTTAGCAGACTCACACATCACACATAGTTTGCTTTTGTCTTTTTACTTTGCTTCATCTTGGTTTGCCATTATCATTTCTTTTCTTTTTCTTTTTATTTCTGTCTCTTTATTCTGAATTTTGGGACTATTTTTACAAAACAGATGGTCCTTTCTGGAGTTCCCATGTTAGCAATATGTGCACCCTATGTAGATTTTATAAATCTACATTTTTATGCTGAGGTATTTGCAAGTGCATTATAGACATGATGACATTATGCCCCTAACTATCAACTCTAAACATATTTGCATGTACATCTCATAGGAGTTATTTCCTATATGCCCTTAACAGCATTTTCACAGTACCCCAATTAATATACCTTATCATTACCCACTTCCACTCTGTTCACATTTCTTCACTTACTGAAAATGTGACCCTTCTGCTGGTTTGCTACCATAGGAATCTAATAGGGGACCTTGCATGTGATAGGAACATACATTCTCTTGTATCGGTAGCTTATTCATCTCTGCCAAATCAACAATACTTATGTATGAAAGAGATTGTCCTAGTCTGCACTTTCTGAAAGTCTAGTTATTATCAGCATTACCTGGAACTTGTCAAAAATGCAGATTCCCAGACACCTCTGCAGTAGCACTGAATGTAAATCAGCTCTACTGTGTGACCCAATGATGATATGCACATTAATGTTTAGGAGGCAACCTAGAGGGTGTCTCACAATTATGTAACTGGCGGTTTTGTATGATTTTTCCAGGCATACTATTTGCTTTAACAGTAGTTCAGTGGGGTCCTCCTGTACTTCAGGGGTGCTCCCTTAAATGTGAAGTCTTACATTCTTCTTCTATTTAAGCTTAGCTGTCTTCTCTTGAGAACCTGCTTATACTGTAGGCAAAATATTGTGGATGTTGGTGCAAGGCATTTTTTCTATGGAAAGATCAGTGAAAGTTCATGTAGTGATGATACTTGTGCAGACAGATGTGTAGAATTTACCTTTCAGAGGTAGTTAGAAAACTCACCCACTTATGATTGCCTCATTCATTATGGAGAACATTTACTCCAAACCCCTGATACGTCTTTCCAAACTACCAGTCCTGGCGTCTGCACTGGTTTATGCAGTCCTCCCAGAGTGTATTTCTCTGGCTGCTTTATTTGGAGTTTCAGCTTTTCCTTCTCATCACAGGCAAGAAGCTCACTTTCCCTTTGATTGTCCAGGTTTTATACTTAGTAAGTCTAGTCTGTCCCCCTATGTGGAGGGTACAAAGCCCATGAGAGAGGGAATAGATTTAATTGAAAAAAACTATAAAAGTGAAAACTCAGTGACAAAGCTAAGAAACATCCTCTAACCCATTAGTAGGTAGTAAGAAAGGTGATTTCTTTTTCTCCATCTGAATGACCAGCCCTAATGTGGTTCCACACATGGGGAAGGAACAGGCTTTATGTGCTGCTCAAGCACTAATATCACATTGGAGTCAACATTAGTGGCTCTTTATTGTATGGAGTGTAATGTTCCAGACACCCCTAAAAATTCCCGAATGTGACCTTGAGTTCCCTTACAGCTTTATCTCAGTCACAATCCCTCCTCTATCTCGTGTTTGACCTCCTGCTCCCTATCTTGGCCCTTCAGGGCTCTGACAGCCTGGCTTTGTTCAAGGGCTTACTCCAAATGCTGTCTGCCTGCATCTGCCAAGATCCTGAACATTTAGGAGGAATGTTGTTCAGGAAGCTTTAGGAGGAAATCTTCCCTTTTTACCACACTTAGTTTCTATCAGAAGAGTGTGTGTGTCTTTTTATTGAGATTTTTTAGAGACTAGAAATTAAGATTTCTCCTATGTCATTACAGAAAACTGAAGGCTTATATTTATATATCTTTTTTAAAAAAAGATTTATTTATTTGTGCATACAGAACTGGGGTACAGGCCAGAGGCACAAGGGTGGTGAGAGATTCACCAGAGACAGAGTGGGGAGACAGAACAGGCAAATGGACGAAGCACACTGCTGAGGGGAGCAGTGGGCGGGTCAGGAGAGGTCTGCCGCATCATGTGGGTCACCTCCAGGGCAGGCGAGGATCGAACTCATGCTGAAGTGGCTTTTGCTTCTTACTGCTGTATTTTAACCTGCTGCACCACAAGGGATGGCCTATATTTATATATCTTTACTAAATAATTGCTTGACTGTTATTTTGGTTCCTGAGAGAATGGATAATATAAAAGTGTATTTTTAGAATATTGACTCTCGGTCATGGAAGATTAAAACACTGACTAATGAGAATTATTTTGAAGGAGTTGCAGGAGTTGAGAACACTGAAAAAAATGCGATAGTGTTCTGTTATATTCAGTTAAGTCTGTGTCATTGCATTTAAATTTCTCTGAGGATAGGGTTTCTGTTATCTTATTTACCTAACTCTGTAGGAAGTTCAGAGTTCAAACAAGTTCATTCTATGGAATGAATGAATGAATCACACTTTCCTGTGAGTACAACTGAAGACAAAAGGATAGTGACAGAAATTAGGGACAGAAAATAGTGTGGAGATGGAGCAAAACCTATTTGAATTCTACATATTATTTCCAATAATCTTAGCACATTACAATCGGTAGGTTTCAAAAAAATATTCAGTGCATATAAGGTGTGTTCAATATATCTTCATTGTGGTCATTCTTTCTTCTTAAGAGTATGGAATCCGACATATTTATCAATCATTTAAAGTGAAATTTATTTAGAGAATTTTAGTGGGTCCCAATCTAAGACCCATGCTCTGGCTTCTGGGATTATGGGAGAGAGGAACCAGACCAGCAGCTTTGAGTTCCTCCTCTGGGGACTCTCAGATCATCCAGAACAACAGCGCATCCTCTTCCCAGTGTTCCTGTGGATGTACTTGGTCACTGTGACTGGAAACCTGCTCATCATCCTGGCCATTGCCACCGACGCCCATCTCCACACTCCCATGTACTTCTTCCTTGCCAGCCTGTCCAGTACAGAAATCCTTTTCGTTACCACCACTGTGCCCAAGGTTCTTGTGAACATCCAGACCCAGAGCAGGTCCATTTCATATTCAGGATGCCTGACCCAGCTCTACTTCTTCTTGACCTTTGGGAATATGGACATCTATCTCTTGGCCACAATGGCTTATGACCGCTACGTGGCCATCTGCCACCCTCTCCACTACACGATGATCATGAGTCCCCGCCGCTGCACCATCTTGATCACTGTCTGCTGGATCCTTACAAATCTTGTTGCCATGACCCACACTTTCCTCACACTGCGACTTTCCTTCTGCTCTAATAGAATGATTTCTGACTTTTTCTGTGATCTGGAACCCTTGATAAAGTTGGCTTGCTCTGACACTAGGATCAATTACCTTGTACTCCTGTTGGTTGGGGGAATAGACATTTTAGTCCCCTTGACACTTGTCCTGATCTCTTATATCCGCATTGTTATAGCTATTCTGAGGCTCCCCTCTGCCCAGGGGAGGCGCAAGGCCTTCTCTACCTGTGGGTCCCATCTTGCTGTTGTCTCCCTGTTCTTTGGAACAGTCATCAGGGCTTATCTGTGCCCCTCCTCTTCCTCCTCCTCCAACTCACTAGAAAAGAATACAGCAGCTGTTGTGATGTACACAGTGGTGACTCCCCTGCTAAACCCCTTCATTTACAGCCTGCGGAACAAGGACATGAAGGGAGCTCTGGGGAAGCTTTTCAGGGGAAAAGTCTTCTTTTTGAGAGGCCAGTAACTTCTGCAGAGAAACTACAGGTGTGTTCTGTGTCATCAGTGAGAAACTACAGGAAAAAAAATTTAAGTGTGTCATTTCTGAATCTTGCATGTACCTTAAATACCCCCATGCTTGATGCCTCACTGTGAGGTGGTTATAGTTGAGGAAATCAAGACTTACATTTTCTTAATCTTTAAGAGTTGCTTATTTACTTTAGTGTAATCTTTTAAGGGTTTCTTATTTATTTACTTGTTTTATCTGACCTTAGTTTCATTCTACTTACAATAACTTTTAACAAGGAGAAATGTCTTTTGCAATGTTCACAATGTAAAAGTCTGTGTAACCTTTTAAGCTAGTTTTAAAACTCAGTCAGCAAGATCATGGAAAATGTATTAATGATCAAAATGTTAGCAAGAAATTACAATATCAGATGGCAGATAGTTGACAACTATAAGTGGAATGTATATTTTTTCTATAACAGTAAGAAGCTATTCAAACAGACATAATCTCAATGTTTTATCAGTCAAAATCCTTGCAAACATTAAAAGAAGACTCTAAACAATACAGGCATGTTTATTTTCAATAAGTATATAATGAAAAGATAAATCAGTAAGTTCCATATTATGGTAACAAATGTCTTCATCCTCATCTGCAAACTCATGGCTGATTGTAAATGCTAATTGTTACATTCGTAGTAAAGGAAACTTGTGTTTTTTCAACGTTCTTCTGTTGAATGTGTGACTCCTGCCTCAATAAAGACTAAAAAATACTTATGGAATTGTTATTTGCAATAGTCAAGATTTGGGAAACAACCTCAAACTCCATTGATTGGTGAATAGATAAAAGATGTAATACACACACGATGGAATAGTTACCAGTCATAATAAAATGAAAGTTTTCCATTTGTGACAATATGAATGAAACCTAAGGATCTTGTGCTAATTGAATTGTCAGATGTCAAATATATTTCCACTCATTTGTGGAATGTAGAGAAAATAAAAGATCAAACAAAAGAAAAGGGAAACAAACTCTTCGACAGAGAACATATGTGTCGCCACCAGATAGGTATGGAGGTAACAGGTAAATTGGGTGAAGAGAGTCAGTTGCATGGTGATCTATGGAAACTAAACTCCAATGGTGTTATGAGGTTGTATATACATGTATAGAATTATATTCTGTATATCTGAAGCTACTACAAATTCATAAATTGACTTTACCTCAATAAAAATGTATTTTAAAAAGATAACTAGGGGCCCTTGCTGGTGGCACAGCTGATTGGAGCACAGCACTGCTAAGCTGGCTACAGCCACTTCAGTGCAAGTTCAATCCCCAGCCCCAGAGGTGACCCACATAGTATGGCAGACCTCTCCTGTCTCACCCGCTGATCCCCTCAGCAGTGTACTTCTTGATCTGCCTGTTCTGCTCCCCACTTTTTCTCTGGTGAATTCTCTCACTGCCCCTGCACCTCTGGCCTGCTCAGTATGCATAACTAAATACTTTAATAAAAATTAAAACATAATTAAGACTTATACTTTTTTATTGATACAGTATATATTTAACAATTCCATACCAAGGCTGAAAGTGAATGCAAAATTATTGTCTAGATCAGTGGGTGGAACAAACTTACTGAAGAGCTTCATGAGGGGAAATCCAGGAAGGTAGATTCTAACAAAAATACTTCCAATTATTTAGATAAATCTACTGTTCTGTTATGTGAAGTGAAATTTTGATATTTGAGCTTCCCACCAAAATGAGAATTTGTGTGGAAAAAGACAATGGTTCAGGAATTATGAGAGAAGAAAGGCCCAAATTGTAGCTTTAAAAAGTGAGACATTGGAAACATCACCAGATGGCAAAAAGGATCTTCTTTGCATCAATCCAAGTGGGACACCTAATAGCAAGCCAGAGAGACAGTACACCAGAGTGGCGAAGGGGGAGGACCTAGAATACTCGGGACCTCAGAGACCAACACAGATTACACAGAGCAGATCCAAGAGGAGCCACATTGTATTGCTAGGAGTTGTGTGGAGAGAGAAGTCTGAAGGCTGTGTTCCAGGGTGTGAAACATGGACAGTGGAGCCTCTCATAAAGCCAGGGTCCCTGGAGGGGGGAAAGAGAAATGCGTGAAAGTTCACACCCTTGACTAAGGGAGGATGTTGGTTTGTGTTATTGACATACTATTGGTTTATAATAATGTAGATGTGTCAGTGACATTACTTAAGTAGCCTCAAAAAAACACCTCAGTAAGTGTGTATATATATATATATAAATCACACTACTTCCTTAACATAAGCTCTGGTATATTCACCACTATCATAGACTCCCCGCCACCCATCCATTTCTCCCACCCTCCTTCCTTTCCTCTTTGGTAACCACCATTTTGTTGTGAGGCTGAGTCATTTTGTTGAAATTTGTTTTCTTTATATTCCACATGTTAGTAAATCATTTGGCATGTGTCTCTCTAAGACTTAATTTGCTTAACATTATCACCTCACATTCCATCTATAGTATCACAACTGGTAAGATTTCATTGGCTTTTTTCAAGTCATCGTATTTCATTGTCTATATAACACACATCATGCATGTAGATCTTTTTTGTCCAGTTATCTGTTGGTGATCATTTAGGATTTTTCCAGGCCTTGAAAGTTGCAGATAGTGCTGCAGTGAACATAGGTGTGCAAATGTTTTTGAATTAGTGTTTTCATGTTCCTTGGGTAAATACCTAGAAATAGAATTGCTGGATCTATTTTTAATTCTTTGAGACACTACCTTGCTGTTTTATGTAAGGTCTATAATGTCGTGATATTATAAGTTTAAAAACTAAGGCCCCAATCCTTGCCTAGAAAGCAACTTTGGAAGGCTCAAATGGACAAAAGGAGTAGATGGGAATTGCCATGGGAACTGATCCGTCTTGTTGCTGATCCAGATCTGAGAAAGGACACTCAAGACTAGTCACCTGAACCAATCAGTGACACCTGGCATATAAATAGGTCCTCGGGCTTAGCAGTGTATTTCAATAAATCTGACTTTTCTGTTCTCCATTTTGTCTCTGGTAAATTATTTCACCTCAACACCTCTGTTCTACACTCCAACTCTTCCCCACACTTTACCAATTCCCAGTCCCACCAACAGTGCACAAGGGTTCTTTATTCTCCAAATCCTCCCACTCTGTTTTTCTAGTCTTTTTAATAATATATACCACTTTGCAGAAATGAGGTGGCATTTCATTGCGATTTTGATTTGCATTTTTCTTATAAGTAGTGATGAACATTTTTTCATGTGACTGTTGGTCATCTGAATGTCTTCTTCAGAGAATCCTCTACTCAAATCTTCTACTCATTTTTTGACTGGGTTTTGTTTGCATACTGGATTTTGGATATCAACCACTTGCCAGGTAGCTGATCTGCAAATAGCTTCTCCCAGTCAGTAGAATGTCTTTTCTGGTTCATAATAGTTATTTTCATTTTGTAGAAACTTTTTGGTTTGAAGTCATTCCATTGTTAATTTTTGCTTTTGTAGTCCTTGCTAATTTGGAGGCAAGTCCTCAACCTCTCTAAATTCAATGCAGGGGAGCATTTCACCTTACTGTCTATCTGCTTTGTGATTTCAAGTCTTACATCCACGTCATCAGTCCACTTTGAATTTGATTTTGTTTCTGGTGCTTGATACTTCTAATTTCATTCTTCTGCATGAGAATGTTGAGTTTTCCCTTCATCACTTGTTGAAGAGCTTTCTTTTCTCCATTGTATGTTCTGCTCCTTTGTAGTAAATTGACTATCCACTGATCATTGTGTTGGTTTTTTTCCCCATTAGCATACTGTTTTGATCACTGTCACTTTGTAGCAAAGTTTGAAGACAGCATGTAACACCTCTTCTCTCTTCTCAGGATTGCTTTGACCATTCTGAGTCATTCGTGGTTCCACTGTGTTTGTCACTTTATATACATTTTTAAATTTTGCGCATGTATCAGTATATTCTTACCATTAAAAATATATATATCATTTTTTATTTTAATGATTTCATGATTACAGCTTCTGTTGTTTGTATTTTTATAACATTGCTGATTTTTGTACAATGTTGATTTCTCCTCTCAGGTTATGCCTGTAAAATTACCACCATAAGACACCCATGAACCATCACTATAGATTCTTGTGCTCTTCCTTCTTGCTGGATTCCCCTTCCCCACCCCTGATAATTTATAGTTTAACTGCTAGTTCAGTCTTTTGTTTTATTGCGAATCCTTGTATGGTTTCCCTGTTTTCCTCTTATAAATGAGACTATCCAGTACTTATTTCACTGTACATACTACCTCCATCTCCATGGATGTTACTGTAAATGGTGTAAGTTTATTTTTTTGATTTCTGAGTAGTATTCCATTGCATATATAAGCCACATCTTCTTATTCTAGTAATCGTTTTTGGACATTTAGATGTGAAACTAGCTTTTTTTAAACTTATGTTTGTGGGACATGCCAAAGTTGGGATACATGATCTAGTTCATCATTTTTAGCATTGTATGAGATATGTAAAATGCAATTTGCTTATCTGTTTTTCTTCTAGGTTATTTCTAGTTTTTCATATTATAACAATGCTGAAATAAACTTTTTTGTACCTTTCAGTTGGACACATGAAAGTTCTATGAAATATATTGCTAAGAATAAATTGCTGGGTAGAAGGTCATGCATACCTTAACTTTTAGTAGTACAGTACTGTTGTGGTTTTTCCCCCTCTCTCTTGTTATTACCTTACCAATGTGACTTTCAGTGGTAGCTTACACGTCCTCATGACTTGAATGTTGAGTATGTTGGTTGTTATGACTCATCATTGCCCTTTCCCTGATCAGGGGCTTAGGCACCCTCCTTAATAGCCCCGGGAGGCAGGAGAGTAGTCCATAGTGAACTACTGACAGACATGGGTGGACAATCTTACCTCGAGATGAGACTGACTCAATAGGTGCAACTATTGACCCAGTGTTCTTCTCAACGCCATGCTAGTGTGAGTGTGCAGAGTCCATATCCCTGC